GTTTACAGATTGTTTTTTCAGTCTTGTGTGAGCTAGGCCTGTGGTCCTGCACTACAGAAGAGAAGCACAGGAGGCTCTAAGATGAGGACTGCTGAGCATGGACCGTGTCCTCGTCTTGGTGCTTTCCCATCCCCGAGGGCAGGTCCATGGTCCCTCTTGTACCACCCAACTCTGGTGACCTCGGGACCCGACAAATGCCTCTCTTCTAAGCCGCCAACGCACAGAAACTACTCCTGCGTGAAACACAAGGTCCTGGCCCTGGGGATACTTACACACCACGCTGGAGATGTAAGTTTAGTTCCTGGAGGGCAGTCCAACCGTCTTCATCATCACCTAGATATGTATACACCCCTTGTGCCGGCAGTTCCACTTCTCAGAGTATTACCTACGGCAGTAACCACTATCTGACGATACACACATCTGTGCAAAGATGCCAGCTGCAGCACAGCTCAGAAGAGAAGAACTGGAAGCACTTTTACTATCTGTCATGGGGTCCTGGGTTAATTAAGTTTAATAAATCTCAACCATGGAGCCATTAAAAAATGATGATGGCAAGCATCACTTGTTAACACAGAGCAATTTCTAGGACACGTGGTGGAGGCAGAGGAAACAGGTTGTATCTACTTCATCTTATTTTCAAACAAGAAAAAAAAAAAGTATGTGTAAGCCCAGGAAAGGAGGGAGGAACCTCACCCCACAGTGTTAAGCAGGGCTCTCTCTGTGCTCAGTGTAACACGCAGCCTGTAGTTTCTTCATTTTCCTTTGTTATTATTGTTCTGGTTTTTATTATTCTGATTTGGTATGGTATGTGCATATTTCTTAGGAAAAGGAAAAGTCAGAGCCATTTCCAGGGTAGAGTTGGGTGAGCAGAGTGGCGTGGGTCCTAAGCCCATACCCCAGTGTTCGCAGGTGGTGTCAATGCTTGCTTCATTTGACCCGCCAGGCCCAGCTCATGTTGGAGGACAGAGAGCTGGAGCATCAGCTCCCCAGCAGCAGTAGAGCTGGTACCAACAGTCCCTCGGGGCTTTGCTAAGGGGGCGCAGGGGTGGAGTGAGTATCTTACTGGTACCCCAAGCCCCAGTGGCCTTGAACTTGGCTTGGGCACCTGTCCTCAGGATCTGTGCAGAAGCACTCTTGGCAGTTTGGCTTGTGCTCACCTCCCTGTCTTCCCTATGCGCGTCCAGTCTATAGGACACTGAGCATGGGGGTCTTGTCTGACCACTGAAGACATTCTCACCCATAATTCAGTGAGCATCTACTTGGCATTGTAAATGATTGGGGCGAGACAAGAAACCCCCAGGGTGGGGTAGAGGCCAACAGAGCCGTGTGCTGGCTTTGAGAAAGTTGCTGAACTTGTTGCAGCCTTGGTTTTCCCATCTGGAAAGTAGGGATAATGCCAGCTCTTCCTCAAAGAACCGTTACCACCCAGTGCCTCTGAGATGTGGAGAGGAGACTTTTCACCTTTGCACTGTGTGGATTTTAGACCATGTGCCTGCATGTTATGGTTTAGATCAAGAAGGTTCCCCAGAAGCCTCATATGCTCATGGGTGGGTCTTGGAAGGTGAGTGGAGTCATGGGGACCATTGAGCGGACTTAGTGTTAGGAGGTGGGGTCTGGTTGGAAGAGGCCCTGGGCGCCTGACCTGGAAGGCTGCATCTCTCTCTGCCTGTTTCTCTGCTTCCTGGATGCCACACCTTGATCAGCTTTCCTCATTGGCAGAACCTTCCACTTCTATGCTGGAGCTGCCAACCGTGGACTGAAACCTCTAAAACACATGAACCAAAATAAACCTCTCCTTTTTAAAGTTGCAAGTGTCAGCAACTGACAAGGAAAGTGACTAAGACATTGCTTTACTGTCTCAGTTCATTTTCCATCCTAACAAAATACCTGAGACTGAGTAATTGAGACTCAGCTCGTGGGTACTGGAAATCCAAGGGCCCAACCTTCTTGCTGTGTGGTAACCAGGCCAAAGGCACCATGCGTGACATGAAGGAACGTGCTCGCTCAGTCTCTTCTGCTCCAAAAGCCACTGATGCCATCACTGGGGCCACCCTCATGGTCTCCAAGTCCCATTAACGTATGAATTGGAGACTGAGTTTCAACATGAGTTTTGGTGCCATTGCCAGTTCAAATAAATAGGAAACTTTCCCGAAGGGCCTCCGTGTAGCATTCATCCCACTGATCTGTGCTGTTCAAGGGCTATGCAGAGCCAGGCTCGTCTGCACGAGGTTGCTAGGGAGGGAACAGTGAATGATTTGTGCCAGGGGCGTGGTCTGGATTTGGTAATCCCAAGCCTGGCACTCTGGAGACTCGTCTCCCTGGAGAAACGATGTGTATCATTCAGTAAGTTGTGCTTTACAGTTCAGTGCTGAGTTTATGCAGCCTTTGTACTAGGATTAGATCTCTTCAGCAGGCACAAAAAAGCACCCAGAAAACCAGCCAGACAGATTTCAAGTAGGGGTATGATATGTTCTGTAGACATTAGCAAATTAAAGGCTCTGAGAAGTCCTGCACTGACATCTTGATTTAACCTTATCAAGAATCTTCCCCACACCCCCACACTCCGCTCTCTCTCATTTGGCCTCACTCTTCCTAACGTCCCAAAGACATTTGGCAAATGGAAGCACTGTCTTAGAGGGAATCAGGTTCACCCTGGTCTTCTAGCTTTAAATTCTTCCCTTCAGGTAGGCAACTTGATGATAAAGCTGGACATATTTGTACATGGGTGGAAGTTGGTGACAGTAGTGCTCAGAAGCATTGCATCGGTGGGTGGCTGTTCTGTGCCCTGCACTGGTTCTTGGAATTTCACAGTCATTCATGGGTCTGATCCTTGTTTCACCCCAGGAGTTGAGCCCTGCCTTACTAGTGAAGAAGCTGAGGGCCAGGGAAGGTGACAGATGCAAGTCACACAGCTGAAGGTGACAGACTCCAGGTTCAGACGTAGAAAGTTTGCTTTTCTCTGACAAGGTCACCCCAGTCTCTCCCATGCTCCCAGCCTGCCTTCCTTGATGCCCTGAGCCTATTTCCTTCTCAGGGAAAGGGATTACAGAGCACTTGGTGTTTTCTGAAGCAGGCATTAAGGGTTTAGGAGCCTTATCTCGGCTCCTGCTCTGAATTCTAATCCGAGGCACTCTGAGATTCGTGTCCTTTCTGGGCCTGCTGCAGAAGCCACCGAGGCAGTTTCCAAATACAAAGATACAGCCTGGCCCACTGTTCCGTAAGCCACTTGTCCCTTGGCTCAGAGCCTTGGGGGAAGGGTTGGGCAGGAGGAAGACCGATGTCCTCTGTCAGTCACCTCCTGGGTGCTGGGTGCTGTGCTGAGTGCTCTCCAAGAGCACTCAGCAGCCCTTTCAAAAACCATTGCTATCATGTTTCACCAGCGAAGAGGCACAGGCTCAGAGATAGGTTAAATAACTTACCCGAAGTCACAAAGCCACCGTGTGGAGAAGCAGGAGGGGTGGAGCCCAAGTAACCCCTCCAAGCCTGAGCTGACTCAGTGCACTGGTGAGGACATCTGCCTCACACCGGCACTGCTGTCAGAGGCTCCACAGAGCCTTGTGCTCCTGGACTTGCAGGCACTAGGAGGTCTCCTGCAGAGGCTGGAATGGACTGGGCACAGGCCGTGTGTGGGGTCACAAGGCCATCTCCAGGACTCTGAGACTCGGAAGGGACAGAGATGGTAGCAGCGGACAGTTTTCTGCATGCATTTCCCCCATACTTAACCTGCTGCCCCACAGAGATCCAACTCTGTAAGAGAAGAATGAGGGAATATGAGGTTATCTTTAACACGTTCATGACAGGCCTGTAGTTATGTTTCCCTGCCAGGTGGCTGTGATGTGAATTGAATGTCCCATCAGGAGGCTTGTACTGCTTCTCAAGGGTTTTTTTGATTATTATTATTATTATTATTATTATAAAGCAAACAGAGGCACTGAGTTACCAGAGCACATGTCATCATATTACAGTTCCTTAAGGAAAACTTTAAAATGGTATAAAAAGTTGTAATGCAAGCCAGGTGTGGTGGCCCAAGCCTGTAATCCCAGCACTCAGGAGGCTGAGCCAGGAGGATCACCACTGAGTCTGAGGCCAGCATGGGCTACAATCTTGTATACACTAGCAATGGGATACTCATAAAATTTCCATGTTAAAATTTAGAGGATTAATTATTGATAAACTTAACTTGTGAATAAGTGCCATGGGCACAAATTGCTCAGAAAAAATATTCACTTTATACAAGCTTACTTAGGATTAGCAAGAAACATATGCAAGCAGTATAGAGAGTGTTACCAAAGATTATCCAAAGAAATGGGTACCTCTTTGGCCCCCAGAAAAGTCAAACACCTTGTGTTGTTTTACACATTCTGCATAAATCAGCCACCTTTATGTATAAAATGTTTTAAAGAAATTCACAAACATAAGTAAATTTCTTTTAATGAAAAAAGTTTGTTGTAATAAATTTTAATTAGTATGGATTATATTAATTAACATTTCTATTTAGGCAATAATTTACATTCAAGCGATTAACTAGATTTGGTTCATTTATAGATTTTTTTGTTATAGTAAAAAGACTGATAAAAGTGATTAGATCTGTTTGTACCACTGAGGGCTCAAGCCAGCAGGAATGCGTTTTAAAATACGTGTGTATGGGCTGGGGATTTAGCTCAGTAGTTCCACCACCTGCCTTGCAAGCTCAAGGTCCCAAGTTTGATCCTCCATACCCCAAAAAAAAAAAAAAAATTAAAAGCAAAAGTAGGTGTGTACTTTATCCACAGAATTCCTCCATTGCTCTGTGTCCTCGAGAGGTAAATGACCACCCCCTCAGCCAGGGAGGGCAGAAGCAGAATTCTCCTTCCCACCCTGCCCTGCCTCCCTGCTTTCGGCTCCCATCACTGGCGGGAAAGACAGGCTGGGAAGCAGGAGGAAGGACCAGCTTGTGGGTGCACAGTATGGAGACAGCTGGTCTGTCCTGTGCTCTGAACAGACGTCTCTCCCCTCCCCAGGTCTGGAAGAGGTCGGGGGCCTGGTTCTACAAGGGGCTCCCCAAGTATATCTTGCCCCTGAAGACCCCTGGCCAGGCCGATGACCCCCGCTTCCAGCCTTTTTCTGTGGAGCCAGCCGAGCCAGAGCCCAGAAGCACTGAGACCAGCCGCATCTACACATGGGCTCGAGGGAGAGGTAAGACCGGATGGCCCTGAAGATGGGCTGAGTACTTGTGGGCGCGGAGCCAGGGTCCCCACCCATTCTGAGGCTCCTGTCACTGCATCCCTCCCTGTGCCCTCAGCTCTCTGCCCACTCCTGAGTGGGAGGGAAGTTCCAGTTTGGTGGTCACTCTCTGTATGCAGAGATGTGGTGAGAGGGTTGCTCGGAACAGTCCCCAAAAAGCACTAATTTGGGGGCAGGACCACTGTGAGCAGCACTGTCATAGCTCTTTTGAAGGACAAGATTGTCCGTGGGAGGTTCTGTGTACGAAAACGTGTCTTTCCCAAACTGGCCTCTGCCACCTCTTCCCTGCCCTTGTCTTATGTCTCAGGAGGGGAGGTCTCCTGGCTCCCCTGGTCCTAATGAGCCAGCTGGCTGTGTTGCCAGTGCCCAGGGTATGTGCAGTGGCTGCATGGAGGTGGGTGTGTCCCCGGTGATGTGCTCGGTCTTGCAGAGGGCCCTCCCTAGCTCTGAAGATGCACCCTTGTTTATGGTTTTCCAGAGCTCCTAGTCTCACAGCAGTCTCAGGAGGTAGACGAGGCAGGGGTTTAATAGCCCACTGTACAAATGAGCCTTACACAGGTGGAGCTGGCTCGTGACACAGCTGGGATCCAAAGGCAGGCCCTTGGGTCTGCTGCCTTCTACCCTGAAGTGTGCAGTGAGACCAGAACCAGAGGGATGAGGGGCTCGTCCTGATGATGGCCCACCTGGGGGAGATGGTCCCTAGATAATAGACCTGGCAACTGTTTCTGAGGAGCTTTTGGACATCTTTGGATGATGATCTGACATCTCTGTATCACTCCGGCTGTTGTTTCTTATTACAAGAGTAATGCATGTTTCTAACAAAAACTCCAGAGGTTGTCAAACCGTATCCTCTAGAGGGTAAAAATCCAGAGTCAACCTTTCCAGAAAAAAAACAGCGTTGGCGTCTCTTCCCTGGGTATTTTTCCCTCTGCTTCACTTGGCCCTCATTGCAGCAGGCTTTCCCTCCTAATTCTCCTGCCGGCCCTGGGAGAGTGGGGTCTTCATCCTGTCCCTTTTCTGCCCTCAGAGCCTGGGCTTTCTCCTGCCCAGGCCCTGTCAGGGTGGACCCCTGTCACTCAGACCAAGGGAGGAGATGTGACCTCAGAAACATAAGCCGGTGGGCACCAGTGGGTTCTGAGTGTTGCTGTGATTGGTTGCGGAAGAGAGGCCCAAGGGCTGTGTGAGCCACTATGATCTAAGTGCCCACTCTAGGGGGCTGTGTCTGCCCCATTTGCTCCACACCAGCACACGTGCACATGCACTCTCTCTCTCTCTCTCTCTCTCTCTCTCTCTCTCTCATACACACACGCAAGCTCACTTGCAGCCACACACACAGGCCCTGGCCAGGAGCAGTGCCCCTGCCTTCTCTCCAGGCACGAAAACACAGATGGTCTTTTAATTACATGGCTGAGGAGACCAGTGGCCCCCCACACTTCCACACTGTTTATTCACTGAGCCTGCACCATGGAGGCTCCTGTGTGTGACCTTGTTCTCCATTTGAGGTGCTGGGTCATAGGACCACCCCCACCGTGCCTCCAAACCCTGTGACCCCCCCCCCAGGAGACCCAGTGTGCTCAACTCTGAAGCAGAGGGACTGGGAGGGCTGGCAGCCAAGCTGCTTGTGGCAGCTGAGAGGACATCTGTACCCACGGTGCGAAGGAGGCACTGGGATGTAGGGGTGCGGTGGGGGTGGGCAGGACTGAACTTGGGCAGAAGGAGAAGAACAGGTGGGGGAGGTAGAAGAGGCTGGGCCTAGGGGAAACTGGAGGAGAGCAGAGGAGCATCACCTCAGGGAAGCCACAGTTCCAGGTTGGCAAGGAGTTCTGAGCAAGGAGTTCTGCTCTTCCAGGCCCATACCAGGGTTAGCGTTAGGGTTAGGGTTAGGGTTAGGCATTGGCATCGCTGGGCCTGTCTAGTCCTCTGCCAATGGGATCCTCTGTGGGTAACTTTCCAGCCCTGAACATGGCTTCCCCTCCTCCAGCCCCAGCAGGGCTTAGTACTCCAGCTGTGATCCAGCACAAGCCTATCTGGTAAGCCTAGCCCTTTCAGTGCCATATTCAGCTCAGACCAAGCTCAAGGGAACACCGTGACCAGCGCTGCAGGGCAGCTCCCCACCACCACGAAAGTGCCACGTGGTCCATGTCTGCCCACATAGGCTGGTTCCTTATGGACACACAGCATGGGCAGAGCTTGTCAGATAAGTGAACAGATGAAAGTGAGCCATCCCCCTCCTCTAGAAGATACAGGAGGAGGTCTGTGGAGGGTTTCCATTGGGTCCTACAGATCCTTGGAGACTGATAAAACCACTTGCTCCATCCAGCCCTCCAGGACCTCAGGGCCAGCATCCTCCTCCAGCCCCATGATCACAGCTAATAGAGATGATCCAACCACCAGCTCGCCTGCCTGCTTTCTCAGACTCTTTCTCTGCCCTCTTCCCCACCTCCATACCTCCCTCTCCCCCTCCTCTCCTGTCTCTAAGCCCTTGGGCTCAGATACCTGCGGCTCCCAACTCCTCCCAACATCCTAGCCCAGCCCATTTTTTTCTCCTGCCCTGCTGGAAGAGAAAGGGTAGTCAATAGATACAAACCATGAACTTTTCCATCCACAGAGCAATCGAGTGACTGTATTGATGTTTCTGAGGTGGGTTCTTTTTCTTCCTCTCTTCAATTTTCTTTGTTTTTAATTATACAAGAATACAAGTTAAATAATTCAACAGTGTATGAAAAATAGTAATCTCTCTACCCTACTTAGCATCATGCCAAACCCCTTTCCCACTGTGCCTATAAACATGCATTTAATCTAGGCATTTAAATTCCTGTTTTGCTTTTGTCTAGCAGCAAAATAAATAGGCTCTTATGACTCTGTTGCTTTTTTTTCTTTTCTGTTATTGTTTTTAAAAGAATATCATGGGCAGCCCTCCAGGCCACTAGATAGAGATTTTCCTTCATTCATTTTAATAGCTGAATAAAATTCCATAGTATAATATTTCATAATTTAATTATTCACCTATTGATGGACATTCAGAATGTTTCTGGCTTTTCGCCACTGCAAGCAGTACTAGAATGTATTTATACATATAATCCTAGAACTGGAGTTTTTCTCTCTATGGAATAGGTTTCTAAAAGTGGAACTGTATGTCTTAAATTCCAATGGACATTGCCATACTGTATTATGAAAAAATGTTCTGGCCATTTTCACTCACCCTAGTGAGACTACTCATTTTCCTGCGTCCTTGCCAGACGTGGGTTTTATTGAAGTTTATAGTTGTGGCCAAGATACAGGACAGAAAATAGTATATATTTCATTGTTTGAACTTGCACATTTGAACTTGCATGGTTTTAACTTGCACATTTGAACTTTTTGACTAAAAACCCTGGGTTCCCCAGCACCACAGAAAATAAAAATATGTTTATTATTTATTAATTATTTAGAGTTCCTCTTTTAAAGGTTGCCTATTCAAATCCATTTCTTATTAAGTTGCTTGGTTTATCTTGATTTGTAGGTCCTCCCTATATGTTAGAGACATTAAATGGTGTAAAATAGGTTACAGATATTCTCCTCTTTTAGCTTTATATGTGATTTGACCTTAGTTTTTGTTACAGTATCTTTTGCTAGTGTATGTGTGTATGTGTAGTATGTCTTTTGCTTCATGGTTTCTAGGTTTCCTTTGCTTTGAAATGTCTTTCCTATCCCAAGGTTTCAAAAAACAATCTGCTAAATAAAAGGCTTAAGTAATATGAGGAAACTATTCATATACAATAAAATTATCAACGAAAAAATACGAAAACAAGCTGAGCATGGGGGCACATATCTGTAATTCCAGCACTCAGCCTAGACAGGAGGATTGCCAGGAGTTCAAGGCCAGCCTGAGCTACACAGTGAGGCCCTGTCTCCAATATATAAATAAATAAATAACGGATAAAGCACTCAAGTCGTGTTCAAAACATGAGTCAGGAACACCCCACCCCATCCTCACTATCATTCAGTTGTATTTTATAGTTTCCCTTTTCTTTTCCTTGGTGCTGGGGATAGAACCCAGGGCCTTGCACATAACAAAAAAGTGCTCTGTCACTGATCTATGCTTCTAATCCCCATAGTTTTATCTTTGTTTTTATTTTGTTTTGCAGTACTGGAAGTTGAACCCAGGGTTACATCCTCACCCTTTTTTTATTTTTTATTTTTTTTATTTTTTGTGATGGTGTCTCACTAAGTTACCCAGTCTGGACTCAAACTTGCAATCTCCTGTGGCCTTCGCTTCCCATGTGCTGGCTCACAGTTTTTACTATATTAATAGCGCAAGAAAGAAAAACCATCTGTTAATGTTAGAAAAGAAGAAAAGTAATTTTTATTTGCAGATGATATGATGATATGCTAAGAAAACTATTCTAAAATAACACATTAGGATTAATTTAAAAATTTGGACTTTGACAAGGTATAAGATAAACTTATAGGAAACCTTTAATTTATACTGACTAATTAGAAGTAGGAATGTGAAAACCCATTTGAAATTGTAAAAATAAAAATTATTAAATACCTAGAAATAGTTTTTGTAAATAAGGTCTTATTATGTTGCCCAGCCTGGTTACAGCCTCCTAAACTCCAGGGGTGCTCTTGCCTCAGTCTCCTAAAGGCTGAGATTACAAGGCTGCACTACCACATCCAGCTTTAGAAACAATATTTAAAAGAAACTTATAGGACCAACATCAAGCAAATTACAGCTTTACTGAATTTGTTTGCTTGGACTGCTATAGAAAAATACCAAGATTGAGTGGCTAAAACAATAAAAATTTGTTTTCTTCTTTTTTTTTTTTTCCAATACCGGGTATCAAACTCAGGACCTTGTGCTTGACAGGCAGGCACAGCGCCACTGAGCTACATCTCCAGCAAAAATTTGTTTTCTGCTGGGCGTGGTGGTGCACACCTGTAATCCCAGCACTCAGTTGGCTGAGGCA